GACTGCGGTTGTAACGGATACGAGGGGGGCCCTGGATGGCGCCGGAACGGTGTCGGTACTCACCTCGACAGTATCTTGGAAACACAGCCGTGAGATACCCTGAGTTGTCTGGAAATGTCGCACGGTCGGACGCCGCTGTGCGCTAGCTCGACGATCCTCTGCCTCACTACATCCGGTAGGGGCCTTCCGTTCACGAAGACGCCGCCGAGCTGGTTAACTCCGCCGTGGCCTGGAAAATGGAAATCGATAATGCATTAGCCGAGAAGGCAACCCTTCCGCGAGCCTCGAGGCCGAATTTCCGCGACCGGGGAACGATCTTATGCCGTGAAAACGCTACGCTGACCGGTATAGCGATCTCACTGTCCGCCATATTGCGGGCAATTTTCGATATTCTGAGTTGGAGAATGGAAGAACACCAAGTGTTTGTTGGAATGAGCATGGTTTTAGGTATGATGGATTTTTAAATTAATTTGGAACAAGATTAATTTACATATTGTCAGTTGTGTGATATCGTAGCAAAACTTGTAAGAAAATTAAAAAAAAAAATGTTAGTAGGATTATTCTATTTTCCTCGAAAATATGTTTTATGTGCCTAATTTTCATTCCTCCACACTTTCAGGATTTCCTACTATTTTTCACATCTATATGGATCTAAAATTCTTTGTTTCCCTTCCGTAGATAAAATTAAATATTCCACTACTCTCCAGATAACGTCTAATTAAAATTGAACACTCCCCACAGTGTGACAGCTTGACACAGCAAACCCTAGCTATCGCAAGAGCCATCCACGTACTTACAATCCGTCCACGTACTTGTATGAAAATATTTTCCCATTCCCCCAGTCCCCCTTCGAGGCAACGCATTTGCTAATAATGTCAGCAACGTGTTCCAGATCATTCGATTTCCCCCGTCCTGCAGGCCAGTTCATTCTTCTCGCGAGACGGCTTTATTTTCGCGCATTACGGCCGGCTAACGTGATAAGTTCGATCTAATATCGTAATGGAGGGTCCTGGACCGCGGCATATGTCCTTGTGTACGTGCCAGTGCACCGATGATCCGATGATCATCGCTGTTTCTAACCCCCTAACATCAGCCAGACTGCGCTGTTATGGTCTGTGACGAGACGAGCGCGATTCATCCCTCTATTCTGCCGCTGTCTTTTTTGCTTTTCTTGCTTTGCTCAATCAATTTCTTCTGGCGAACGCGTTAATGCAGATCAGAGTGGCCCGTAGAGGAAAAGGAACAGTCGCGATAATGGACGAGGTTCGATTGAACGAACGGTCTAGTAACGCAGGCAAGTATAACTGATACGAATCTTCTTGTTCTCGTGTCTGTCCACGACGGGACTGTTCTACTAGAAAATTAATTCCAGATTTGTCTCGCGATCGTTCGTTCGGCTTTCACGAAACATCGGGATATTGGTTTCTTGCGCTGGGTATCGTTCGATTGCGTTTCGTATACAGGGTGGTCTAGTTCATTCTCTAAATTATTTTAGGATCTCTAGCGGACTAAACTTGACATGAAACATTCCGAGAAATTTTTCGTATATTTTCGTGGAAGATTTTTCACAACTCTCGTATGAGTAAACATTTGTTCACACTGTACAGAAGTTAAAAATGTTTCAAGCTATGCAAGTTAGGTGGACGAATTAATCACAGGAACACACACACTAAACTGAATTCAGCTGAAGGGGACAACTATACATATTTAACCTAGCAATCGCCTCGATTCCCCTTTCAACGACCCCAAGATTCTCCGTAAAATCTTTATCAACGCGAATCCTCGATTCACTTTTAACGAGACACCCTATACACGACCTCGTACCGAAACAATCGCTAATTACCCCGACGAGCCGGTCATTTCGATCAGAAGCATAGTTGTTGGCTCGTGCACCGAGTGCGTCGCGACGCGTGAACCGCCTTTTTCTTTCTCTCTCTCTCTCTCTCTCTGCTCCGTCGATAGCCGTCGCTATATACACCATCGACGATCTCCGTTGCCGCACAGCAAGACAATGAGGGATCCACGATCATTACTAGAAACGATACGCGCTTTCCGGTCGCAAATCAATTCGCTCCCGCGTTTATGGTCGCATCCCCGCGGCGTGGCCGGTAGTCTGGGGGATATCGTTGGATATCATGGTGGCCGGTGGCCACTGGCAAAAGCACCATGACTACCCTACGCGACGCACACACGCCGTCACGCCTGCTGACCACAACTATACGAGGGCCCTGGATTCGTAGCCGTGGTCCACCCCCGGAGGCTGAATCCAGGGCTACGAATTGTCGTGCCGTTGCGTTGCTCTCGCTCCGCCACCGCGTCACCCAAGCTTATTATTGTCTCTCTGTGCACCGCTCTGTTTCTATTCTGAATCTCCGTCTATTCCGCTGCCATTCTGCACCGTTCTGCTAAAGCCAGCCGCTTTGACTATTAAGTTCTCCTCTTTACGCCTGTTTCTGCTCTTGATTGGTTCGGTTCTTTAGCTTATTTTTCGCTTGCAGCGTGGGATACTTGAAGAGTCGAGAGAAAAATTATGAAAATGTGGTAAATAGTAAAAATGGGATATCAGTGTTTGTACGGAGAAAATTTTCATTAAATGTTAATTAATTCAATAATTTCTGGAGAATCTGTATAGGTCTTCAATGTTTAAAGTTCGTTCTACTTAAAATGAAATTAAATGGACACTCTTTTCTCTCTGTACTCTTCATTATGAAAGTAGCCTAAGTTCTACATTTCTTGTGTCGATATATTTAGACTTCTTCAAATCACTAGCTTTCCTTCTTGTTCCTAATTTGTTCCCATAGTACTCTATCAATATCAACCTCCCTCGAAAAAACCATCAAAACTCTCTCACAGCGGAGTAACACGCGTAACAAACGCCTCGGTTCGCGGCTTAATCGGTCGTTTATCGGCGTTTCGACTCGACACCAGAGAAAGCCAGCTCGCAGTTTCCTAATCCTATCTCTACCCTGACTCCAACGATCGATTCAAAACGAACAACGATGCGAAATATGTTAACCTAGGCCTCTGCTGCTCGACAATACACTTCCTGGACGGCCACGCTTTTCATCCTTGATCCATTAAATACGTCCGCCATTCTGCGTCCAGCGAACAAGCGTGGAGAGAGAAACGTATCCTTTCCATCTTCACGGCTTGTTTAAACAGACGAAAGATGTGTTGTTAGCGTTGCAGACGCCAATTAGACACCCTCGGTGATTTGTTAATCGCGCGCGTTATTCGAGCGGAACGATACGAGACGAATGAATTGGACGACGATGTCCGTTCTGGTTTTGCGCGAAGGCAAGAATAGAATTTTGTTTAGCGATACGTAGCGGAAGGTGAAAAAGGAAGAGAGACGTAAGGGTTTATGTGCGGGATAAGGTGCACGGGGCGAGCATCGGCCCAGCCAAGAACTGTGTATGATATAGATTCTCGACTCGGTCACACGATATTTCTCCAGCAGCTTTGTTCCTGTATTACATTACGGGCTGGCGTTACGTATTGCCGCCGCGAGCTCGGGAACACGCTAGACTTTATTACTCGCTCGCTTGAAAAATAGAGGGAAGAGTGCGGGCCGGTGCTCTTATTTTTCAGAAATTCCTACGGAACGATTGCAACGTGCAGTAGTTACGACGATAGAGAAATTCCAGGCTGAACTAGTTTTTTTTTGTAGATGGATTAGACTATTTTTTGATCGAATGTGCGATCAGTTCTCTGTGATATTGAAATTGTTTTGGCAAAATTTTTATGACATTCGTCGTTTCTTGAAGTTCAAATTTAAATATTAAATTTGAAGGCGTTCTTAGTCACCTTTTTCATTCATTTGCGCAAGTAGAAGATTTTCAAAAATCTCTAAGGGTAGAAATACGAAAAAAATATGACAATTAATTTTATCACAAAAAATCCCTTCACTTTTAAATTGAATAATTTTGGTATTTATATCACAAAGATAAAACAGAAGCTCTTGCTTCCGATTCATAAAGAGTTATTATAAAATAAAACTGGTTAAGAGACGCAACGTTTCGTTTCATTTATCTATCGGTATAGAGAGAGAGAGGCATCGTCAATTTTTCTCCGGGAACGTCCGGCGGATTCCGCAGCAATTACACGGATAATTTTGCCCGTTCAATGAAAGGGATTGGCTGAGTGGTCGCGGAACGATTCAGCCGCGATGTGCGCGCGTTGACCGCGCCGTTCTTGTTAATGTTTCATAATTATTATCATGCTATTAGTTCGAACAGAACCGGCGGACGGCCGCGCTTTCGATCGTTGCCGCTTTCAAACAGCTACACCATCCCCAAACCCGCCTAATTAATACGGTTTTCAGGATCGATTAGAGATGGAAAAACGCGATCAGGAAGCCCTCGACACGTTCGTTCTTCTTTTTCTACTATTTATTTTCCTCTTTTTCGCCAACTGTGCGATCGTATCGCGAAATGCACGGAATTACACACTTTTCCGCCTTCACGCGCGATTACGCCGGACACGCTCCCAAAGTCCATTTGAATTTTCGCTTTCGTTACTTCCATACACAGGCGAAGCCGGAAGCGTGTGCAACACGGTTCCGCGATTCGACCCGCTTAACCCCTTTTTTCCCGCGTGTTTATCGAGCTGTCGGAGCGATTTGAATTTCTCCAGGATAGGAAACTTATTTCTTGTCCGTTCTCGTGGACGAAAAGACACTTTTTTTCTTCTTTCTTTCTTCCCTTCCCCTCCTGAAACTTCGTGGATTTTCGTATCGAACTCGATCAGACAGGTTTCACCGCGAATTTAGGCGAGTGGAAGGAGAGAGAGAGAGGGAGAGAGCTGAACGATTCCACGAATGGTTCCTACGCAGATCAGAGACTCGAACAACGATTGCGGTTTCGTTTTTTACACAGTACCGCTACCGATCGAACCGAGTGAATGAAGGTCATCGAATTTCTTGCTTTTTCGCACTCTCGTTTGCTCGTAGTCGTCGACGATGCAGATTTGTCGCGAACCGTCGCTCTCGACTTTCCGTCTCGGCTCCACGGCCCGCTTGATCCGACAGAAAACCCCGGGAGAAATCGATTTTTAACGGGCGAACTCTCACCATTGTGGAAAACTAACTGATTCTTTCTACTGTCTGCTTGTTTGTCACGTTGTCCTGTTAAAATGTATTTTTAAAGCCTGAGTATCTCTAAGAACGACGTCGTTTATGGATGAAAGACAGTTTTAGTTTTGAGCAAAGTGGAATTGGACGTGAACTAAATTTTCTTAATGACACGATTTATTTTCTAATTGTACTAGTATTCGTAGTTTCTTTGCAACTCTAAGTTTCGCAAGAGTGTGGTAATGTGCAGTAAAGTGGAACTGTACGTGAACTAAATTTTTCTAACGACACCATTTATTTTACACGAATTTGCTACTTATTCGATGTACGTATTCTTGCAAACAAGTAAGAGAAGCTATTAAGAAAACAATTTTTCTAAGTTCAAGCGTATCAAGGATAAAAAAGGAATCGATAAATAATTACAAAAGAAGCTTCTAATCGTCCCTAAATCTACTAATCCTCCGAATAAATGAGCACACTAACGTAATACCGCAGAAAAAAGAAGCAAAAAATGAAACGATAATTCCAGGCAAAATGTAAGTGTGATGAGCTTACAGGTGTAATATTCCATCATATTCTGATTGTATCGATAGGCGGTGCTGAGGTCCATCGCGGCCCCTCAGTAGCCGACGGCCGTCGGCTGTGGGAATCCAGGTGGTTCCTCTCGCCGCTAGATTTCACGTGTAATGTCTGAATCGCGTCCAAAGGACCAGTCGGTCCTATTGACCACCGGCGAACGCGTCTCTTGCACGCTACCAGTGGCTCTAGCTCTCCTCTCTTTTTTATACGTATCCTCTGAGGCCACTCTATGGCGCGGCGGTACAATGACTGTCATCAGGAGCGTCTTTGTGCCGGACGACGGGTGGCTTCGTCGAGCACCCGGTCGGCCGTCGCTTCATCTTCATGAATCGAGAGTTGAATTCACCTAGCCTTGCTAGATATACTCTGTTCCACGAGACACCTACTGACTCCTCTTTCTCTTCTCACACCACTCGCGACATCACTGAACTTCACTCTCGCACGCTGTCCACAATAATCTACCCTCGATGAAATCTTCGAAAGGGTTTTCAGGTTTCTTCATCGTTGAACAGCTGTCAGACTATCTCGTACGATCTCTTCGGAAATGTTCCTCAATTTTTTCGATCTCCAGTCACATTACTAAATACACTGTTCATCGATGAAAACACAGCTTCACTTGACACTGTATCCAAAGAGAGAGAGAGAGAGAGACTTCACCGAAGTTCACTCATCGATGCAATTTTGCTCAACCGAATTATCCCTTCGTGCACGTACAGTCCATTACTCGGTGCAACAATCCAAGACACAGTCCAAGATAAATCTCGTTCACGTTGAATACTCCCGATTACAAACGATCGAACACGTGAAAATCCAACTGGCAAACGTTAAAAGTAATCCCGATGTCCATCGAACACACTCTCGAGGCGCAAAACTTGTCCCTGCATCTCCCCCAGAGTCGAGAAGGATCTATCCGGGTGTCGATGTGTCGAAATAGGCAAAAAGGTTCTCGGTCACGTCCGACTCTCGTTATCGTTATCAGCCGCGGTGACACGGTGGCTGGACCCCAAAAAGCGGCACGGCCGTGCGGGTAACAACGACGTGAAAGCACGAACGAGGCTTCTGGCGACGGGCACACGTGACTTCGCCAAGCTTTTCGACCCCCGCCTCTATCGTCGAGCTTTCATCCCCACGCGTTTCTCAACCCCGCCTATTCGCATCCCTCGATCAGCATCCAGCCAGTAGGATCTGTCCCGCTATTGGCCGAGCGTGGATCACGTGTAGCCGAGGTGGGGCGGCTCTGCGACGCGGGGTTTCTACGGAAACGGCGGCAGCGTCGCGCGGGATAACGTCGTTATTGGCATCCACCGGTTGTGGGACGGAGACACTGTTAACAAGCGGGAGGAAGAGGCCTGGATCGGGATGGAAGAGGCAAAGGTTGCGAAATAAACGTTCGCCGGCTGGTCTACCGCCAACAGTCCCACGCGAAATCACGCGGCGCACACCCCCGTGAGCACTGTTTATTCATGAGCCTGTCCCTCTCCGTATCGTGGAGCTTCTACCTTGCCTCTTCTCCTTGGATACGATGTCTCGCCTTATCGATTTTATTTATTTAAGAGTTTCCCTTTGTCGCTCCACTTCTCCTCGACGAACCGACCTCCGTCACTCTCCTCCGCCGCTTTGTCTCCACGCTTCTTTCCTTTTTTTCTTCGCCGCCGTGACCACCACCGTGAACACCGGCGAATCCCCTTGATCCCGAGATCGAAGGAGATCGATGTATTATAAAATTGCACTTTATTCTTCTTCGATTCTTCCGAGGATTACTATTTCGAATACTGTCAGATATTCCATCTTCACTTCTGAGCAAAAATTCGAGAATTCCATCGTCACATTTGCTGATAAAATTAATCAAACGATGTATTCCAAAGATCTCGGAGATCACAGAAAATGACAATTTCGATCGGCACGTATCACGGTCGACGGAAGGCGTGTATCAGCCTCAGACGCGGCTAATTACGAGACTGATTACGTCCACGGGACCAAACATCGTGGACACCGGTGGTCCCATGGTCCGTGGAGGAGAGGCAAAGGTGGATGAGGGAGGCAAGGGCTAGGAATCCGCAAGTTACGCGTGTGTCAGATAGGGGTGGGGTCGAGAGGGGAGGAGGAGAGACACAGAGGTACCGCAGAAGGTGGGGGACGATATACTGGTTTTACAAACTGCGCCGCTGCTGCTCTCTGATACTTTTCCTTGGGAACTGTCGGGTGGTATACGCGGCTCGGTTGTACAACATTTACGATAATCTATAGATGCTTATTCGCCGGAAGAAACTTATCACTTTTATGCAGGCTATAACTCGAAAGTTAGGCAATGCACGATGCATTCCAATTACCCTTCAGCGTCGATCGAATTACTCATCCCTTGCGCCCAGCCGATTTTTGCCCCGAGTTATTGCGAAAGAGGAAGGGGCTTATATGCGATGAACTTTCGGGTAACCGTGGATTTATGCGAACTGTTTGACCGCGATCCAGATCGACTTTAAGAACGAACACACGAAAAAAAAAAGAAAAGAAGAAATATCATCGGTAAAACACTCGGAAACAACGCGTTACGCTGGACATCGACGGTAGAAGACACCGTTGTTATTTGAAATTCATACTCGAACACACTTCTCGTTATTTCTTTTGAAATCTATCGAAAAAAGAAGAAGAAGAAAAAACAACACCGTCTACCGTCTTTCGTAGCCGGACAAATGGTCCATGAAACAGACACAATTCGCAGTATGGTGCAAAAAATAGTGTATCGAGATCCGTGGAAAGAAGCTCGATTATGAGAGAAGGGCCCCCTGTTCACCTCGAGGGGGCGAGAGAGAATACACCAACCGTGGGGCCCCCCCACCTATCTAAAATGTTAACTCTCTGGGAAGGTCTGGCCACTGGTGTTCGGAGAGACTCGGATCAGCCGGAAGGTGCGGTCAGCCATCGGCGTCGGTGGGACCGCCGTTGGGCCGCGAATCTCACAAGGGTCCGGTTTACATTCGAGTGCGTTCTTTCATGACTCCTTTCTTCGTTTCATTCTTACGTTCCGACTGGGAGACGGTAAGAGCGGCGGTTCCTTCGTTCGCCCCACCGTCAACCCGGTTCACAAGAGAGACACACGCTCAGGCGGCCGCCGCCTCCTCCTCGCGACATTAGATACGTGAGATCGGGAAACGCGCCGAACGCGACATGCTTGCGTAACATACCTTTACCTGACACTCCGTGTAGCCGCCAGGGATCCCGTAATTTCCTAGCCGGGCCCCGATTATACCGCGTTTTCGATTGTCCGCCGCGGCACAGGCGGGATCGATTGCACGCATCGGACACCGCATCCTGTTACCACGGCTACTTTTTAACCTTCGACGACGGAGAACTTTGTTGCTGCGTTAGTGGCGAGAAGGGGGATCGGTGCTTTTGATCGAGTGTCTCTGGCTTTTTGCTTTGAGGAGTTATAACACGAACGGGTTTTCTCGAGATTCGGGGAAAGGGTGGTTTTGGTGGATTTGTTGAATCGCGAAGATTGTGATTTTTGGATGAATAAAAAAGCGGAGATCTATTGAATGAAGGAAGATTTGCAGGGTGTCTTCTAATTTTTACTCGCCTTTTCTATAAAGCTCACATCCTAAATTTTGGATCACTTGTCAATCGGCATGGAATCTGCTCTGAATTTTTACTAATTTTCGAATTAACGTCTAGCTTGAGCCTTTCCACTTCCTCAACTTCGCCAATTACACCAAGATCCTCCCGTAATACAGCCCCAAATCTCCCTAAACCAAAACGAAACAAGCCCTTCGCGCGTCTCCCCATTTCACCAAGTCGATTCACCCCCTAAAGTAACGAACCCTCGAAAGAATTCTTGGTTCACCTGCGTCGTGATCCCGGGGAACAAAGGCACTGGTCGAGGCGGGGATCCATTCGTCATTATCGCGTCGACCGACCTAATCTCTGGAGGATCTCTCGAGATTACACTTTGGCATATCATTTGGCTGAACGAACGAGCGGCTCGGGTCGCGTTGACGGGCAATATGTCCTCTACATGAGTGCACCGCCACTCCGCGTGAGACACACTCGCATTTGAACGTAGGGGAAGCGTAGTTTCGGTGCACCAAGTCTGCCGGCTATGGTGGTTGTGTATCGTTGCTAGAGGGGAGCGGGGGCAGATGCAGATGAGCTCGTTGCTCCTAGTGCATCGATCATTCGGGTAACGTGGCTGTGTGTCGTGCTCTTGGATGGCTAATCGGTAGCTAGCCAACCTCCTGTCCTTCCTAATCCGTCGGATAACCGCTGTATTAATCTGATTTGTCATAGAGAGGATCGAGATGGTAAAGGTCTTCGACCCGACGATCTCTATTTTCGAAAGATTCATATACATGTCGCGAACGAGAATTTAGACAGGCCGTGATTACCTAGTATCCTTGGGGGATGAAATTTTTACGCAGGGTTCGATGGAATACTTTGGTTTTTCAGAAGTTGGAATGACGATATTTCGATAAAATTACAGATGACCTATTTCAAGTACGAAGAGAGAAATTGTAAATTGAAGGATGAAAATCTACGTTCGCCGGAAATTTCATTACGCGTCCCCAATTAGTGTCCTCGAAACGTCGCGATGCGATGCCACCGCGAGAATTATTTTTCTGTTTGCCGTCGCGCGGCCAGGGGGATAATGGGTCTCCGATGAGAATCTCGTTCGCGGGCAAAAACACGGCAGGCCAACGGGAAAAAACCCTCACCGAAAAAAAAAAACGAGGGAATTTATCCCCCTGTTGGCTGTCCGCTCTCGAAACCGCAGAAGAAGCCCGAAGAGCAAGCTCGCTAGGCGTCCCACGGAATTCGGTGACTATTCCGCAAAAGATTAACCCCTAACCGTATTACCGTTTCGTGACAGAGTGAGAGAGGGACTAGGAGAAGGGGCGATAACTTACGAGATTTGATGTAAATAGCACACTTACTTATTCGCCAGTGTCGCATGGCGCAAGTTAAAAATACGGAGGCCAAGGTGAGGGATGCTGTGAGATGGAGAGCGAGAAAGTAGAAGAAGAAGAGTAAGAAGCA